TCAAATGAATATGGAGAGGAGCTGTAGTCATGACCTCTTTCTCCGAAACAAACCTATCTCCCTGAATAAACTCTCTTGAAGGTAGGGGGTAAGAGCTGCACAAGGACTTGTTTTCATGGGGAAATGGATCGTCCAATTTTTTATGTGTTGCTCAACTGCGGAGTTGTACTTTTTGACATGGGACATCAAAGCTCTCATTATCTTAATTAGATATACTTCAGAATCTATTAGCATCAGCTGCTTTGCACATCTAAGGGAGATTCTAAATATGCTATTGAAAACAGATTTTGAAATGCAAATTTTGAGTCTTTAATTGATATAATTTATAGATTGATAGGCTTTAGTGTTTTAGTGTGGACTTGGTATCTCATTAATAATCCCTAATGAGTCTCAAGCTAATACTTTCTGGAGGGCCCTTTTTTTTTTACCTGACTGCAAACTTAAGTACATTTATTCTAAATTACATTTTTACGTAATACATTTTTACAATCTGAATAAAGTCATCTTGGCCAGCAAACCTATCTAGAACTGTTATTTATTCATTCCCCCCAAATATTGAGAGTATCTTTAAAGAGATGGTTTATCCAAAAATTAATATTCTGTCATCATTTACTCAGCCTCGTTTTGTTCCAAACCTGTTTGATTTTATATCTTCTGGGAGACATAAAATACATATTTTGATGGATATTTAAACTTTTTGTTCACACAATGAAAGTCAGAGGGGTCTAAAACAACACTGACATATATAACTATCTTCTTTTGTGTTCCACAGAATAAAGACATGCAGGTTTTAAAAAACATCAAGGTGAGTATACTATGACAGAATTTCCTTTTTTGGGGTGAACTATGCCTTTATATAGGGTATGACATCACCGTTGGCCGGAATGACTCTGGTTACGCCTACTGAGGGGCAAAAAGACTGAGTGGCTGTATTGGTTTTCAAAGTGAATGCCACGAAAAACATCTAAAATGGGAAAAAAGCTATGGGATTGACAATACAAAGAAATCTGAGGTATAATATTACAGACTGTCGAAGCTAAAGAGAAAAGAGAAGCAAATGGATCGCTGCAATTCACAGAAACAAGTGGACTCCAGGCAGGGAAAGGTGGATTTGCAGTTATCATTTTGTGTCAATATGTTGAATTTTGGGGTAAAATCATGCCATATATATTGTATTGTTATATATTGTATTGACAACTCATCAATTAAATATTTACTTCTGCACAATTGAATGTTTTTAAATGAACATTAGTATAGAACTCTTTATGTAGGCGAGATATATATATATATATATATATATATATATATATATATATACACACACACACACTGATATTATTGATCACCTGGATTTAGACCTATATTGTATTTATATAAATGTTCACAGGCAAATTTGCTTTATATTTTCCCGGCTTAGAAATCAGGCACATATAAATGTCAGGAAACACGATTCATGGCTGCATGTCAATATCCATGGATCAACACTTATATCTTAAGTCCAACCTTTAGAGTTTAAACTGATAATCGGTTGTTTTACCCGTGTTTTCACAGTTTCCCCTATTAAATCCAGTCACGCAGTCGGCTCATTTGCTACTCAGTCTGGCTGAGGGAGTGGGGAGTTCCGGCAGGAAAGTGACGTCAATGCATACCCTCTATTAGTGGGTGTAAAACTTGGTTTGATTGACGTATTCCAGAACCTTCAGTTGTTAATAACAGTTCTTAAGCAGCTGGCTAAATGTGTGTCTTCCATCAGTCCATGAGCCCTACTTTTCAAAGGCTCACCCTCGGGAGCACTTCATTTAAACAATCAATCCCCTAAGACTGGCCCACAAGCAAAAAACGGCTCTTTTTTCTCCCTGTCAGTGCATCTGAAGGGCTGGCCGGCGCTGGAGCTTTGGTGGATAATCCGTTGGATCGAGTCTCCTTGGGTAAGGGCCAGCCAGCAGCCGTATGGTTTTGGGCAGCCCGCCCGGTCAATCCCCAAGCTGGAGGTCAACATCCAGTAGATTCCAGAGGTCAGAGTAGAGACAGACTCGCTGTGACTATGTGCCTAGCAAGACCAGAATCTGCTGCTAAAATGATCAACACAATGACGAAAAGTTTTTGACAGCCTAATAAATAATGTGTCCAGTATTATTCAGCCATTTGTGCCCTTTCATACAGACAAATCTATTAAGGTTATATAAGAGGTCTTTAATCATAATTCTCTGTATTCTATCTTTCTTTTTTTTAATGTGCTTCCGTCAAGTCAAACAATCATCAAGCCACTGCAAAAAAGAAAATGAGTATTGATGTAATTAAACCAATTTAAATCAAATCAAGTCCAGTTATACAAACATGCAACACGTGTTAAACATCCCATTAATTGCTCAACACATTTGGCACATGTATTTTATCAATTATTTTATTTAAAAAATATATATTTTAACTTAACTGCGAATAATTTCATGATTCCGGGAGTTTCAAAAACTACAAAAAAAAAAAAATAAATAAAAAAAATATTTTTGTTCTTCAATTAAAAAAAACTGAAGAAAAAAATTGAGGGGACAAATTAAAATAATTAAAACTTTGTTTGGTGTACAACTTTGTTTTTTTAAAATTTAAAGTTAATATTTGCAATAATTTATTTTTAATTTTAAGTCTTTTGGTTCATGTGGGTGTTTGCTAAGGGCCCAGGTTGACAACCACTGTCCTAATTTTTTTATGGAATTTATGGTATCAGATTTTTTATACATTTAAAAAAAAAAAATATCTACAGATCACTGTCCATGGATCCCCAAGCGTTAAGAAACACTACTTTAATCAGGTAATACAATGAATGTTAGAATCTCCATAATAGCTCATCTAAATTTAATCTATTATTCTGAATAAACAATCATTATTAGAATTTTCAGGGCTACTCCTGTCATCGCTGCACATACTGTAAACCATTCAACTTTTGCTCCACTAAACCTGAGGGTGTTTTTGGGGTCCTTGAGATGTTTTGGCATGCTGTGACATTTGTGCTTTTTTCGGTTGCATATAAACTATGCAATTTTACAAATAAAAGTATAATATATATTTATTTATACATATTAATGGCACAGGTGAAATTACACTCTATTTAGCACAAACAAGGCTACCATAATATGTGAGCAACATGTATGTACATGTTTGTATTTTTGAGAGAATATTGTTTATGTGTGGTTATACAAAAAAAATGTAAAAAGTTTCTGAAATAAGGCTACAAAACACATACTAAATATGCGTCCACAAGACTTTGGACTAATGGATGTTGTGGCCTAGAGTTTTTTTCTTCAAAATGATCTGAAAATCATCCTGCCTTTACATTCACATAACACAATAGAACGCAAAACTCGCATCATGTTTATTTTTCTTTATTTGAGGAAAAGCAGAACACTTTGTTTTTATTGTAAGTATCCACAAAAAAATAGAAACTTAACAATATCTAATGATGTACAACACCTATATGTAAGATCAAAATCAACAGAGTCTTTTGAGTCTTTTGTACTGATAAGGAAAAAAAGTGAGCTGGTATCGCCGGCGATACCGTGGACTCCAGAGGGTTAATCACTTTTCTCAACTCTAATACACACAAAAATACACACAGTCTCTCTCACACTTTCACCCTCTCCCTTTTTCACCTCCCACTTGCTTCCATGCTCTTTCCACAATGTCTGCAACCTTCCTCTCACCCTGTGATCCTCGCTGAAGCTCAGTCTCTCTCTTCGTGTCATCTCAGGGGAATTTTAGGTTTTTGCGCAGAAGGACAGCATCTGCAGAATCTGGACAGCATCTGCAGCAAGGTAAAGCAGAATCCCTGGCCTTGAGCATCAGCACTCCACTGAAAACTACACCCTCTCCTCCATTGCCAGAGAGATTTGTTTATTTTCATGACCTTTATTGGCTGCCTTCACTCCAATCCAGTGTGCGGTCGCTCAGTGGTTTGCCATAATTACTTTTCCAGATAGAGGTGAGACAGTGTGCAGCAGTCGCATCATACGAGGCACTCTCAGTGGTCAGGTGTCTGCATTTTCCAGCATACAGATTTGAATGTGTAAGGTTAGACCAAACGACTTCAAACTGTTTCCTCTGAGAAGGCTCGATTTGAAAAAGAAACGCATTAGACAAATATGCGCAAGCGTCATTACTACTCTTAATTCTTTAAGAGTAAATAACTCTTTATTTTTTTTATTAATTTATAAAATAGTTATGTATACTTTTTTTTTGCAATTATTTCTTTATGTAGAATACAAGAAAAAAGTCAATTTCCAGTGAATAATGACTTAAATTTCACCCATTTCCTCACACACAACTGTCATCGAGTTGAATGGACCACTTTGTGGTGTTTTTATTAACTTCACATTTTTTTGTGTTGGCTTCTGGTTTGGAAAAACATGATGACAGAATTATTATTTCTGGGGGAACAATTCAGGATTTCATCTCATATTCTATTCAAAAATATGTTGGTGCACTGGGAATTTCTTGCCTTATGCAAACAGAAGCAGTTTACTGTAACAGTTGTACACATAATGCTAGTTTGTTTGAGAATGCGCCATAGCATTAATTTTTAAAATCAAACATTGATGAATGCCAGCACTGATCTCTGAATTGGCAATTATGTTAAATAGCTGGCTTTGAAAAGATTCACTGAACTGTGAAATGCACCTTTAATTGTGACCTGGAAAATGTTTAGGCAAATTTCATCACAAGCTGAAGAAAAAGAGAAGAAAATAGAAAATAAATGCATAACACGAAAAGAAAAAAAAAAGTAAAAATGCAACAACAACAACAACAACAACAACACAAGGACCTGCTTCCTCCACATCAGCACACCAAAAAGCCTTGGGGTACAGCTCTCGCAACAAAGAACAAGAAGCTCTCGCTCTTCTGAAGAATACAATTTTCTCCCCTTCTTCTCCCCTTGTACCCCACTCACATTCTGCCCAAATCCCCTGCTCAGGGATCTACATTCGGCATGCCACAAACCGCATTCCCTGATGTCTCAAAACACAAGTGTGTCTCAACATTTCTCTTTCTGCTTTTAATTTTCCAAAGAATGCAAGTGTCATTTCACGCCTTTCTCCCTACTTGCCTAAAGCCAATACCCAGAGCACGAGCGTCTGAGAAACTGCCTCTACAGCTCCAAGTGAGAAAAAAGAAGCTCCAGTGGATTTTCGAATGCTGTCTGCAATGAGATCTTTTGATCAGCTGCCAGGTGATGACAGATGATCTGCATTAATCTCACACTTTCTGCGACTCTTTCCAAGCAGAGGGCAGCGAGCAAGGCTCATTGGTTTGAAAAGTGAAATGATGCCACGTGGGATTTCTTTGTTTCTTATTTTCTCCACCGTCTTCTCCTGTATTCTCATTGCCTCGTTTGTTAAAGGAAAACTCCATGAGTCAAACTCGCTGCAAAACAACGGGGGGGACGAGGTCAGAGAAAGCTCTTGTTAAAATGTAGAGTGTCTGCTCTAATACTGGCAGGATAGAGGGATGGAGTTTGCTTTAGCGCTGACCTGGGCGTTTGCATCCGAGCTGAAAGAGTACTGTTTGGATACTCGTGTTTCAATCCATTAAACCTTGTGAAGTGCTAAACAACTTAATAATTTAGGAGAGTGGAGATGCTCAGGCTTGACTTCATCATGAACACCTCATCGATTGGACAATAAAGCATATTTGCTTATTAACTTTTGTCCAAGCAGCAAATTACCCAAAGAGGAAAGCAAACTTCATTGTTGACTGTTCGCTAGTACTTTCAAGTTGGCTTGTTCTTTCAAACACTGAAGAATATGAGATTGGTACATAGCTAAAGTACTATAGAAAACTAAAGAAGCAATTCTGTTAATGATTTTGAGAACAAAAAGTAGCATTAAATACTGCCCTTCGTGATTTAAAAAGGAAAATTCTTTAATAATGTATTCACCTTCATGTCATTCCAAACCTCTCTGACTTTCTTTCTTCTGAGGAACACAAAAGAAGATATATTGAAGAATGTTTTTGTGAATATAATGATAGTCAATGGGGTCTAAAATGACAAAAACACATACGAAGAGTTCAAATGCAAAAGCCTCTAAGTGGAAGTGCCATTTGAAATTTTCTTCTAGAATGATCATTTTTATCAAGCTTGTATATTTAAGTTCAGTGATTTCACTTAAATGGCAATGATAATTACCTATTAATTGTTATTCAAGTGAAATTGCTGAACTTAAATATACAAGTTTGATAAAAATCATCATTAAAGAAGAAAATTTCAAATGGCATTTAGAGGCTTTTGCATCTGAACTCTTCATACATTTTTCAAAATATCATCTTTTGTGATCCACAGAAGAAAGAAACTCATACATGTTTGGTACTACATGAGGGAAATGTAGAAATTTTACCCCAAAAATAAATTCTTTCATGTAGCGTAGGAAAATATACAACAACATATTATATAGCCCAAGCTGCATAGAGCGGAAATGGCAGAAGAAAATATGTCTGATTCTCTTCCATCAGTTCCAAATTAGCCTGAGGGATGCAAGTCCTCGGTCTGACACATGCAGACACACGTTCATGTTTCAAACAGGCCCTGTCAGGGCAGACTGACCCCTCGGCAGATGGTGCGTATCACATGTATCACCCCAGAATCATCAGCATGAGAGTTGTCACTATTAAGCCGACCTGGACCTCTTGCCCCCGTCTCGAAATCCAGGTGTGAAGGTGACGAGACAGGAGCACCATTTCTGCAGGGTCATGGCCTTAACTCTATGCAGCTCTCATCACCGAAAGATTTGCTTCTGAACGCAGCGCACACATACCGTATTATGCCGATTTCTCTTCGCACCTCCAGTCACAGCTAACAGCTGCTGATGAACGAGAAGCGACGGCTTGTGATGGTGCTTCTCCATTAGAAAAACATAACCAGCTGTTATTTCGAAAGGGGATGGTGGGCTTATTACCGTGATTTCCAGCGGGAGTAGCTCTCCTGTTTGGCTGATTATTTTGCGTGGCTGAGATTCTGCAAGGGAGGTACGTGTTTTGTGTTGCTGACAGATAACAGCCTTTTCCTTTCACTAAGGTCTAGGGACAAAGGACAAACTATTTCATCCCGGAAATTATTATATCCGGTAAAGTCTGAGAAAAGCCATCAGTGAGTTTTATGTCAGCAAAACGGGGCATATTGTTTTAGATGATGCTCAACGCTGAATTTGTCATTTTGTAATTTTGTGAGGGTGAATGTGAACTCGGCAAGCCCATTAAAGGAATAGATCACCCCCCAAAAAAATATGAAAATGTCATTATTTACTCATGTTGTTTAAAAGGGCAGAAGGCAAGCTTTTCAGTGAACATCAACAACACTCAATGAATAACGTTTAGTTTGAGAATTTGGAGCTTTCATTCTTTGCAAACCAGTGCTAAGTGTAAAGAAAAACACGTTTCAAACGACGTGATTCTGAGAAGATACACAATTCAAGACATGGTAATCTCTGCTAGCGATCTTTCCGACTCTCTTGTGTGCAAATATTTTCCTTAAACTAATTGATTTTGCTAACTGCAAACAAGTGAAAACATGCTGTTGAATGAGACAATTACTGTAAATAATGTGCTCTGTGATGTGAGTGATAGCTTATAAAACTAACCAAATTAATACATTTGGACTTCGGAGGGGCTACAGAAAAAAAGAGACTGCAACCGGACCCATGCGAAAACAAGGATACATATCAGAAGGATATTACATGTAGTCACGCAATGAAAATGTTTTTAAAATTAACAATTTGAGTACAAAGTATAATTTGCACGGATTTGTGTGTTATGATAACTGATATGATAAATAAGTGTTTGTTCGATTTAATCAGCGCGATTTACTGCAATGTTTGAACCAGAACAAAAGTGGGTGTTTCTTACTAGCTGAGATGATATTTTCCGGTGAAAAATTCTTATGTTGGTCATACTTTCAAAAAGAATAATCTGTGCTTCTGAATGCCAGTATCCACACCGGCGCAGCGACTGACAGCCTGACAGTCTCCTCAAACATGTGTTCTTCCGCGCTGTGCGGTGTTGAACTCACGTAAATTTGATAATTCCTCGAATGATTGCAATTGCAGATTACGAACAGAGATGGCGACCAAGAGGAAAAACGCCAGAATACAGCTTTAAAAAAAGAAGTACAATGTACTTATTGTGTTTATTAGTGCTGCACGATTAATCATATCACAATCGTAATCGCGATGTCAAACCTATGTGATTATATAACGCAAAATGTTGTTGCAAAATGTATGTTGTTTTGCAAAACACTTATGGTGCTGGGTTAAGGTTAGGGACAGGTTTAGAGGTACAGTTCGGTTTAAGTGTGTTAAAGCTACACTGTGTAACTCTTTTAGTTTATTCTTAGCTAAAAACACTTAGTTCTTTCAAAAATATGTGTGCTCATTAATGTATATTTACTTCGTTCAAGTAATAAAGTATTCTCGTGAGTGTATAATATGCCATTGAAAATACATACGGGTAAGGGGTTCTAATGTCGGTCGCCATGTTGCCCCTCCATCTTGAAAGTACATTAGCCAAAGAGGGACATACCCGTTAATTCAAGCTTTGCCTTTCGCGTTTATGTTTCAGTTAACACTCATGGACGAGGTCGAACTGGAAGCCATGTTAATCTTGGACTACATTGGCCACCGTAGGAGTTAAAACGAAATCGGAATGAAGAGGAACAGAAACTAATATTCACTGGATGGTCATATACCTTTACACCGCTAGATGGGGGTAAAAATCACACAGTGTAGCTTTAAAAATAAGGGAAGGGACAACGGTGTAATTATAGATGTAATTACATAAATGAATTACAAATGTAATTACATGCAGCCAATTAAAATAATATATGTACAATGTAAAAAAAAAACATGTATGTAGAGCATTGTCAAATGATTGATTTAAATGTTAGAACACAGTAGTTAAATACACCTAATATAAAGTGGGACCAAACGCCCGCCCCTTACTAACCTAAATAAGGCCAAGACCAATTACCAAAGTCAAGTGATACTGTTCAGTTAAATTACCGAAAACCAGCACATTTTTAAAAACTTGAGCATTTACAACAAGAGACACAAGAGTGTTAGTCCTAAGAGTCATTTTGAAATTGCCAGCGTTACACAATCATAATTAAGGAGCTGTGTTATATTGAATTTCCCCGCAGATATCTGAAACTAAACTCTAAGAGTACACTGCACTCCAACTTTTTTTTTTTGAGCCAGAACTTTTTCTGTGTGTGAAATTTAAGCACAAAATCTCGAAATACTGCTGTCATAGTTTTCAACTTTTAGTCCATGGATTTCATGTTTTCAGTATGAGGTAAACCCTTCAATCATTGGAGACAGTGCACAGACAGATCCGCTGCTTGTGTAATACCCTGAACTTCAATAAAAATGTTTTACCCTCGCTTCCCATACTCTTCAGCTTTAGAATCAGAGCACATGGTGGTGGATCGTGCTGTCCTGGATAAGGAACAGCTGTTTGAATGAATCTTTAATGTTCACTCACGCCAGCTGTACATCTGTACCATCGTTCTTCACAGTTTCAAGTGCCGATCATTCATTAGCCCACCACAGCATTCTCTCATTTGCAGCCTTATATGCATGCATGAATGTTTTGAAATCTGCATATGTTCGCTAAAAGTAAAGTGGAATTATATTAAATATATAAACTTAATATTTCTTATTTGGGTGCAGAGATTACACAAGATTATTTCAGCAACTTCTTTTAAAAACGCAATAACTGCACATTTACCTCTAATGAATTGCTCCAGGTATTGAGCCATTTACTGCACCGTTGACCTTGATGCAAAGTTTTGTAATAAAACAAGATCTTAAAACTTTTATGGAAAAGGTAATGGCTGCTATAGATAGAGATTTCTTACTTTACCTCAAACCTTATCTGTAGAGTCCTCCACTTAACCCGAAGGTAGAGTTTATAAAGTCTATCAGAACAAAGAGACCCTTTTACCTCTCAGTTACCTTTTAGCATAATTACAGCACCATGTTTAATGTCAGCTCAAATACCACACTAATCAGCATTAGAAAATAGGTCAGACCGTATTACAATTGTTGCCTGCGTTTGAAAGGATAAAAGCCTGTGCTTGGGTTTGCATTACATCAGATCCTCTGGTCTCTTCTCACCCCAGCTTTTGTAATTCACAATGGCAGATTAAAGCAGGTAGGTTGTGGTGCAATTAAAAGTGGTTTCAACAAGTTTTGAACCTAAAAACAATGAAAAAGCAAGGGCAAAAAATACAAATGAAATACAAGTTACCTGCTTGCAGGACTCAGATGAGCTTGTAGGAACGAGCTGTGTGGTTTGAGAAGACGACGATCAATGGATCCATAGAAAATGGCTTGTTATCTACGTGAAACAGACAGAAGAGAACGACATTTTTTCATTTTCTGCAGCTTGTATGATGAGTGAGTAAACATGAATCTCCTGGTTCTCCTTTCTTTGGAGGAGGCTGTCGCCGTGGGTGCTCTGGAGAGTAGTGCATTATGGGATTCCATAGTTTTCACAAACAGAAGAGGCCTAATTGGCTCTCATTGAATGGCCATAACCATATATCACAAACCCAATGCCCAAGCTAACAGTCAGCAGAACTATTACTGCTGCAGTAGCCTTTTCCTCATGTGAGCACGCTCGTATCCCGGCTCATTCAGAGACAAATATCAACATGTTTACACGGGAGAGAAAGAGATGAACAGCTGCATTCACGATTCACAGACGCTAAAGCAAATTCACATTTGAACACACTCATCTGTACACGGGGTCTAATATGAACACAGTGAAGAGAAAACACCCATGGCGATTCATCGGTTGCGCTCTGGCTGTGAATTCACGCTGCCTGCACAGCAGACGGGTCCTCTCGTCATTTTATTAGCACTCAAGGGTTGGGGAAGAGGTGTCTGAAGAGAGAATATAGGATCTGACTAATGCCCTCTTCTATGTGTTTGTATGACCTTGTGTGTTGTAACCTTTGTGGTGCTTATATGCTCACTAGACACCAATACAACATTTAAAGAGCCCCTATCATAGCATTTGAAATGTTCCTATTTTTGTTTTAGGAGTTCCCAAAAACAGTTTAACAGTTTAAGGATTAAAAAAAACACTTTATTTGTCTTACAATATACATTTATTTTTAACTGATTTGCTCAACGACTCACAAATGATTCGTTCGGCGATTCATTTTCCCAAACACCTCCTTTGAGTGACGCGAATCTGCGGCGATTGATCAAATGACCCAGTCAGTTGTTATTGGTAAACCGTAGGCAGAGATTGTCTGAACAATGTATGAACTTTGTATTTTGAGCATTTTGGTTTAATCCTCAGTCGTAAGTCGCTTTGGATAAAAGCGTATGCTAAATGACTAAATGTAAGTGTAAAATGTAAATGTGAAAAATATTGTTGGTTTAACTTAAACAAGTAAGTTACCTAGTTGGCTTAAAATGTTGAGTTCATTGAAATTAAAAATTTAAGTTAATACAACAAAGGAGATTGGTTTAAAAAATAGAAACTCAAAATATTATGCTTTCTGAACCACATTCATTGGCTGTGTCAGAAAATCTCCGCTCAAACCACTACTCCCTACCTCCTATGTAGGGGGTAGGGAATATAGCACTATATAGTGAGATCACCAGCATAAGAGAAACACCACTTGCTACTCAATCTGGTCGATCGTCTCTCGGTGCCGTTGATTACATCATTGCTGTCGCCCGTCTGTCTTTTTTACGATCAATGCATGATGGTATGTAGGGCTTGAGGTAGTGACCATCGGTTGTACACTACTTTTCAAAATGCATTCTGGGATACATTGAGTGGACTATATAGGGTATAATAATCATCACTATACAATCAGACAGCACTACAAAATGGGGAGCTCACTATATAGTCCACTAGTGAGTAGTGGAAGATTTCGGACACAGCCATTAATTAAGTTGATTTGACAGAAGATAAATAGTTGTGATAATAAATCAAGAATATTAGTTTTTACAGTGTACAAGAAATGTGAATAAAATGTAATAATAAAAAAAAAATTCTAATTGCAGTCAATATCCAATATTGTGCATCCTTAATATATAATTCTAAAATGTAATTATAATTATAAAACATGGATAGAACAAATACTAATGAAAGGTCCACCTGGACCTACGGGTAAGGTACAGTAATTTAGTTTCAGAATACTGGCCAATTTGAACACAATTTGGGAACCTGACTCCAACTCCAGCTGTTCTCAATTTAATGTCATTGCTGTCTATGAGAAATATTTACATAGATATTTAGGATAGCTCATTTGTGATGTTTCTTTCCTATGGGCAGGCCCACGCATCCCTGACCTGATCAAAACGATGCACTAATCAAGACTCTCATTTCGTAAGACACCTACTTTGATTTCATTATGAATGTTTGTGCCATTCTGGATGCATCTTCAAATCCATAAATCAGACAACACGAGACATTTATCTCATTTGCCACTAGGAGATCTTGAATGTGCACACGCAGTCTGTTCCTGCCCTGGTTTCCAAGGAAAATAAGCCACAGATCAGGGAGGGCACAGGAAGAGAGAGCGAGATGGGGGGGGGGGGAAGGGAAGAGACAGAAACACTCTTCTCTGACTGGGTCTTCACAAGGAGGAGTGAATCCATGGAGGGGGAAGAGAGAAAGAATGTCTGCTCATTATTCAGCCTGGCACTCGAGGCCACAGAAAATAGCTCTCTTCATTTTTCTTGTCAAGCTGTGACTCTGTTAATGGTGTGTTCTCAGTCAGTGGTGAGACAAAGGGGAGGGTGCTTTAGCCAGCACCAGGAATGTAGCGAGTCACACCACGATAAACACTATGACCCTTTCCGGTGACCGCTTGCTCTGTTGGTCATCGACCGCCCCAGAAGGCAAGCTAGCATTTCCGATAAAACACCTTAAAGAAAGCTGGCCATTTTATAGGGACTGCAATTCCTCAATTAGAACTAAATGAGCTTCCCGTCTTGGAGACCATCTCCAGTTTCCTTCCGTTCTAGCCAAAATTTCTGCTAAAACTTTTTGCTGTGGCCGGATCAGCTGGATAATAAGAGCTGAAACAGCCATGTTCCATTAAGTGTAAGACTGATTTATAAGCATTACGTGGTTGTCCGGTCTTTCCTCCATTTGGCTCATGATTGGTCTAATTCAATGAGCTAATAAGCGGAGCAGCTGTGACTCCACTGTTGGGCTAAGATGAAAGTGGAGCGGCCATCATTATGCACATATATTACTACACCAGTGACGGGAACTTGTCCATTTGCATGCATGAACAAGAATCTGATGCGAAGATTCCAGTGGATTATGCATCTATATTGACATATGCATTGCTGGATTACGTTTTTACAATGGATTATGGATTATATCTGTCATATGAAGAGATAATAAAAACACACTGTCTAACCTCATGTTTTCCCTATAAGATAATCACAGTAATCAGGATGACAGTTTTAGATCAAGTCAGGACATTCATGACAGAGTAAAGGGTTACAGCCACTTGTTAGTAGTTATTTGTTAGACAAGAGTGCTGTGTTTTAGAACCTACTATTTCCTTGGTACTAAACTAATACATATATTATGCAAAAGGCAGTGCATCAAATGGATATATATATATATATATATATATATATACACTCACCTAAAGGATTATTTGGAACACCTGTTCAATTTCTCATTAATGCAATATCTAATCAACCAATCACATGGCAGTTGCTCCAATGCATGTAGGGGTGTGGTCCTGGTCAATCTCCTGAACTCCAAACTGAATGTCAGAATGGGAGAGAAAGGTGATTTAAGCAATTTTAAACGTGGCATGGTTGTTGATGTCAGAAGGGCTGGTCTGAGACTGAGTATTTCACAATCTGCTCAGTTACTAAGATTTTCACGCACAACCATTTCTAGGGTTTACAAAGAATGTTTTGAAAAGGGAAAAACATCCAGTATGCGGCAGTCCTGTGGGTGAAAATGCCTTGTTGATGCTAGAGGTCAGAGGAGAATGGGCCGACTGATTCAAGCTGATAGAAGAGCAACTTTGACTGAAATAACCACTCGTTACAACCGAGGTATGCAGCAAAGCATTTGTGAAGCCACAACACACACAACCTTGAGGCGGATGGGCTACAACAGCATAAGACCCCACCGGGTACCACTCATCTCTACTACAAATAGGAAAAAAGGCTACAATTTGCAAGAGCTCACCAAAATTGGACAGTTGAAGACTGGAAAAATGTTACCTGGTCTGATAAGTCTCAATTTCTGTTGAGACATTCAGATGGTAGAGTCAGAATTTGGCGTAAACCGAATGAGAACATGGATCCATCATGCCTTGTTACCACTGTGCAGGCTGGTGGTGGTGGTGTAATGGTGTGGGGGATGTTTTCATGGCACACTTTAGGCCCCTTAGTGCCAATTGGGCATTGTTTAAATGCCACGGCCTACCTGGGCATTGTTTCAGACCATGTCCATCCCTTTATGGCTAATTCCAGCAGGATAATGCACCATGTCACCAAGCTCGAATCATTTCAAATTGGTTTCTTGAACTTGAGAATGAGTTCACTGTACTAAAATGGCCCCCACAGTCACCAGATCACAACCCAATTGAGCATCTTTGGGATGTGGTGGAACTGGAGCTTCATGTCCTGGATGTGCATCCCACAAATCTCCATCAACTGCAAGATGCTATCCTATCAATATGGGCCAACATTTCTAAAGGATGCTTTCAACACCTTGTTGAATCAATGCCACATAGAATTAAGGCAGTTCTGAAGGCGAAAAGGGGTCAAACACAGTATAAGTATGGTGTTCCTAATAATCCTTTAGGTGAGTGTATATATATATATATATATAGAGAGAGAGAGAGAGAGAGAGAGAGAGAGATATATATATATATATATATAAAGATATATACACACTAGACAGAATTTTTTTAATAACATACAGTTTGCTAATAAATATATTCAAACTCCAATGAAATGAACTACAAATCAAGTCTCTGGTGAGAAATTCTATTAATGCGGTCCCTAATCAGTCACTTTGAGGTTCAGTGTCATTTATGCTGTCTTGACAGCATCGTGTTTTCCTTGAGCTCATGTTTTTGTGATGGAAAAATAATCCATGCACGGCCTTTTGATACATGCCTAACACAACCTTTAGGGTTTGATCTGAAAAGGAATATGTTTCCATGTTAGCAGAACAACATCATATGTCAGCCTATACTAGAGATGAGGGCTCTATACAATAGTGTTGGCGAGAGTAAATGTGTGGCAGCACTGATTGCTGAAAGGCACAGATAACCCTGAGATACACGGTCAGAGTTCCTCATTTAAGTGCTACTGTTGGCTCTGCAG